GTGCTGTGAAAAAGCATTTGCCCCCTTCCTAATCTTTTATATTCTTTTTGCACGCTTAAGTGATTCTGATTATCAAACAAATTCAAAATCCAAACCTGTCTAAACCTACCTGGCCCTATGTGAAAAAGTAATCCCCGCCTTCCTTGCTAAATCATGAATAAACTGTGATAAACCACATTTTTTGGAAAGCTGAGTTAAATTTCACTTGCCATACCCATGCCTGATTACTGCCAGATTTGTTGAATCAAGAAATAACTTAAATAGAATCTGTTGGGCAAAGTGAAGCACGCTAAAAGATCTAAAAAAGCAACAAATCATGATGCAATCTAAAAAAATTCAAGAACAGATAAGAAAAAGTAATTGACAGATATCAGTCTGGAAAAGGTTACAAAGCCATTTCTAAGGCTTTGGGACTCCAGCAAACCACAGTGAGAGCCATTATCCACAAACGGAGAAAATTTGGAATGGTAGTGAACCTTTTCATGCGTACCAAGATTAATCCAAGAGCACAACTATGACTCATCCAGGAAGTCATAAAAGAACGCAGAACAACATCTAAAGAACTGATGGCCACACTTGCCTCAGTTAAGGTCAGTATTCATGATCCAATAATAAGAACGAGACTAGGCAAAAATGGCATCCATGGGAGAGTTCCAAGGTGAAAGCCACTACTGACCAAAAAGAATACAAAGGCTCATTCCACGTTTTCCAAAAAACATCTGTATTTTATATATATATATATATTCTGTGGACTGATGAGACAAAAATTGATCCATTTGAAGGTGTGCGTCCCGCTACATCTGGTGTAAAACTAACACAGCATTTCATAAACTGAGCATCATACCAACAGCCAAACGCGGTGGTGGTAGTGTGATGGCCTGGGGCTGCTTTACAGTTTCAGGACCTGGAAGACTTATCATAACTGATGGAACCATGAATTCTGCTGTCTACCAAAAAGTAGAATGAAGGAGAATGTCCAGCCATCAATTCGTGACCTCAAGCTCAAGCATGCTTGGGTTTTGCAGCAGGACACCGATCTAAAAAACACACTGGCCAGTCCACCTCTGAATGGCTCAAAAAAACAAAATCAGCTTGAGAGCTTGAAAAGCCTGAAAAAGGAGGCAGAACCTCGGAAATGTGTTGCGGTCCGCTCCCCCACACCACCACCACCACAGCCTGTCACATTCTCCCGTCTGCCTTCCTGTTAGTGCTGTGAGTGAGAGGAGAGATTCCACCGATTTACCATCTTGCATTAGGTCCCTGCTTGTGCTCTGCAGCCCTATAAGTCCATCCAGATTTCGGAGAGTTGTATATTGCACCACCACTCTGACACCTGGAGTAGTCTATAGGTCTTCCAAATGTAAGTGAGAAATGGAATTCAAGTTTTGTTTTTAACCATACACTAATCTGGTGCCCTGTTCTGTTTCCAAAATGAAAGTTTTGGAGTGGCCTAGTCAAAATCCGGAATTAAATCCAATTGAGCTGCTGTGGCATGACCATAAACAGGCTGTTCATGCTCAAAAACAATTCTGCAAAGAATGGTGGGCCACAATTCCTCCGCAGCAATGTGAAAAACTCATTTGCCAGTTATCGCAAACCCTTGATTGCAGCTGCTGCCGCCCAGAGAGGTGGCAAAACCAGTTATTAGGTTAATGGGCAATTAATTTTTCACATAGGGCCAGGCAGGTTTGGATGACGCTTTTCACTTAAGTAAATGAAATCATCATTTAAAAACTGCAAGTTGTATTGGCACCAACAAACATGCCGTGTTCAAAGTCACTTAAATCCCCTTTCTTCCCTATTCTGATGCTCAGTTTGAACTTCAGCAAGTCATCTTTACCATGTCTACATGCCTAAATGCATTGTATTTCTGCCAAGTGATTGGCTGACTTTTTTCTACACACATACTGAAACATAGGCTACTAATGTGTTATTAGACATATCTACAGTACATGCTTTAAATAATTTCAACTTACTAAGCAAAGCCAATGAAGTCCTCATGATTGGTATTAATATAGGATAATTGTATATCAATTATCAGCAAAACCTACAAAAACACAAAGATTAATCAGGACAATAGTTTAACCCCAGCAAAGACACTGAACTGGGAATTCATGTTTATTTGATATTTAACATAAAACAACATTGCACTAAAGAAACAAAACAGTCTTTACCACTTACAAACACCAGAACCATAACAATTTGTTATCTGCTTATCAGTCCTGGCTTCTCTGTTGGTAAATGAAAAGATAAAAAGTGCAGCGCTAAAATTGCATCAAAGAGAACTACAGTAATGCAGAATAATAAAGTGCAACACATAAAATTGCGAAACCATTAGCAAAGAATCAATGATGTACTTTACTGTTCCGCTCCATTCATACAGTTTATGATGCACTTAACTGATTTGTTCGATTTCTAGATTTTTATTTGCTGATGGTTTTGCACTTATATGTGTTGCACTTTATTATTCCGCATTACTGTAGTTCTTTTTTATGCATTTTTAGCGCTGCACTTTTCTACACATATACCTGTAGGGGATTGTTACCTGCACCTTATGTGCTAGCTGCTTCTTAGACATTGCCAGCGCTCCCCTATATATTACATTCCTACACAAATGAAAAGATGAAGGTATGTGGATTACAGCATCCCTGCATCTCAAAGACATCTTTCCAAATGGTACTGCAGGTCATATATTTGCTATATGTGGAGCACCATCTAGTGGAAGAAGTTAAGATTGACATCTCTACTAAACAAGGGATGCAGAGTTATTTTGAATAGTTTATACCTGTACCTAGTTTAAAAGGAGGTGAAAAAAATTCAAAATACATTTTTTACAACAATATTATAGGAATTGATCTTCAAATATTCACAGAGTATAAGCACTACCGGGAACAACACTCACCAGGAACTAAAGCTAGGCAAACATTATAAACAAAATTTCTCAATAGAATTAGTTATACAGAAATCTTAAAATTGCTGTTTTACATAAGACTAACATTGGGGACAAGCTTTAGGATTAGTAGGTTTCACATGTCATGCACTGTCTTGCATCCATAATATAACTTACAAAGTATTTGGTTCCATCTCCTTCACCTTTGATGCAATAAGTATATAATGAGAAAGAAGAACATGAAAGTTTGTCCGGAAATTAATTTTTATGATTCAGTTAATCACAAATTACAGTAAGAAATGTTCCTGAATTAAGTATACAACAAATACAACCTATGACAACTGCTGATGTTTAATATTGAATGCTCAACTTGACACATGAGTAAATGAAGATTTCAGGGACAAAAAAAAAAAAGGAGGTTCGGTCTTCTGAGCTGGCCATGACAGTGCAGGTATAGAATGAAAGAGATAACTGGCTTTGCTAAGGTGAGATATACCTAATATTAGTAGTTGTTTGCTTATACAAATGTGTATACATGCCTGTTCCTTGGTTTTCCCCTCCCTTTCCCGTATGTATAGAGCTACAATTCTTTCTGTTTCATCTCGAAGCCTTGGATAATTAGAAAGCTGAAATTAATAAAAAATAAATATATGTTACAGCACAATCGTTATGCAATAGTTAATGTTGGTAAGGTAACAAAATGAAACTCTAAATGAATAATCAGGATAGAAATGTGCTGGAGAACATCCAAATGAAACAGCACTAGGCAATTTGGCAGTGACATTTTAGACTAGGTTTTCACTGTTGATTTTATTCTCTTGCAATTAGGAAAAATCAATGAGCTGCTAATGAGATGATGGCTAACAACTGGCTGAACCTCTTGGTACAAGAGATGAAAATCACCTGCATATTCTTAGCCTATAATCCTGTAAAATAAATCAAACTATTCAATCACCTCCTGCACAACCAAGCAAACAATTAAATCACTGACAAAGCATGTATATTGTCAACATAGCAACACTTTCAACGCCGAAAAGGTCTATCGCTACTGACTCCATATGTGCTCCCTAACCTCCGTAGTAGTATGATTATGTCAGTATTTCTGTGCTCAAAGCGGTACTTTTTTTTGCATGGAAATAAGTAGTTTTTTTATTGTAGGCCTGTAATTTTTGGGAATAACTCACTTAAATCTGTCCTAACAAGAGTCTAGTAAACATCCCGGGTATGATAAAATTTGAAACACGAAATCATAAATTATAATAAAATACATAATCATAAAAAATAATAAATATAATAATAATACATTTAATTCAATAATATAATCAAACCAAAAACACTGAAATTTAAAATATAGCGCCAAGTTCGCACATCACTGATCTTAGTCGCGAAATTGTTTTCAGTGTCTGATAACGAATTTCCCCACAAATCATTACACAGGTCTGCGACTAAAAAGCTGTTTGATTATTTTCATCTAATTTCCATGTATTTTGGTGTGCTGAAAACAAAAAATATTGAAAAAACTCCTAGACGTCATGATTTGCCACAAGATGCAAAATTGTCTTCAAATTTTTATAAAAAAAAATTAATTATTAATTAAATTTAATAATTATCACTCAATTCTGCAAGTAGTTCTAATTTACTATGGCTGTTCTCTAGCTGGTCTAAAACTGCTTTTGACATAAAGGGATGCTTTTTGGACGCCATGGACATTTCTCAGTTTCCAGGCAGAAAGAACAGTAAAAATGCAGGCAGGGCACAGGACAAAGCACTAGGGACAAAACGTATGTGAAATGGTTTGGTACAGTAATGTTATACTATGTGATTTTAGTATATTTAGTGAATGTCACTTTTTAAAATTATTAACTTTCCCGTCGGTTTCCATCCCCCTTACGTCCCGAAGCACGCAGGGACCGGAACCTGGAAGACGGATGATGGCATCGGCCGGAGGAGATGGCCGGGGACGCTGCAGGGGGGACATCGCGGGGGCTCAGGTCAAGGTAAGTGAAACAGGGATCCCGGAGCAATGCTACAGGGTAATTCCGAGTGTAGCTGAGAGGACAGAGGATCACTGATCAACGGAAAGAGCTGAAGATGTCGGCTCGGTCATGTAATCAGCTGTGTCCAATCACAGCTGATCACATGTAAATAGGGAAATGCGCGGCATTTCTCTCCTCACGAGCTGTCACGCTGACAGCTCGAGAAGAGAGGAGAGCCGGTAATCAGCATTCCACAGAGGGGACATGTACACTGATGATCAATGTGCCCTGATGATCTTTGTAGCCCCTGCAGTGCCACCTGTCAGTGTCCATCAGTGCCAGTTGTCAGTGCTCATCCATGCCACCTGCCAGTGCCCATCAGTGCCACATCAATGCCACATTTCAGTGCCTACCAGTGCACATCAATGCCATATATCAGTGTCCATCTGAGCTGCCTTTCAGTGTCACCCATAAGTGCCAGTCAGTGCCACCCATCAATGCCAGTCAGTGCCACCTATCAGTGCTGTCAATCAGTGCCACCTATCAGTGCTGCCTATCAGTGTGCATCAGTGCCGCCTATCAGTGCCCGTCAGTAGCACCTATCAGTGCCGCCTAACAGTGCCAGTCAGTGCCACCTAACAATGCCAGTCAGTGCCGCCTATCAGTGCCATATATGAGTGCTGCCTTTCAGTGCCCATCAGTGATGCCGTCAATGCCTATCAGTGCCACCTACCAGTGCCTCATCAGTGCCCATCAGTGCCACCTATCAGTGCCCATCACTGCAGCCTCATTAGCGCACATCAGTGAAGGAGAAAAATCACTTATTTACGAAATGTTATAACAAAAACGAAGAAAAAAATTATTTTTTTCAAAATTGTCAGTGGTTTTTGGTGTGTTTAAGAAAAAATAAAAAACCCAGAGGTGATTAAATACCACCAAAATAAAGCTCTGTCACAAAAAAATGATAAAACTTTCATATGGGTACAGTGTTGCATGCCCGCGCAATTGTCATTCAAAGTGCAACAGCGCTAAAAGCTGGAAATTGGCCTGGGCAGGAAGGGGGTATAAATACCCTGTAGGCTAGTGCTTAAAAGGGATGAGGTGGCAACCCTAGCGAAATACTAGAGGCCTGCAAACGGGTATCTCCCAAGCTATTGGACCGCCTTATGCAATTACAGTATATATCAGGGGTGGGCAAACTTTTTGACTCGAGGGCCGCAATGGGTTCATATATTGGACCCGGGGGCCGGACCAAGAGTAGATGAATGATGTGTATGTGTCATCCATAGTAAGTATAGTAATATTCCCCCATAGTAAGCATAGTAATTAATCCCCCATATAGTAATTCATCCCCCATAGTAATTAATCCCCCATATAGTAATTCATATAGTAATTCATCCCCCATAGTAATTCATCCCCCATAGTAATTCATCCCCCATATAGTAATTCATCCCCCATAGTAATTCATCCCCCATAGTAATTCATCCCCCATTTAGTAATTCATCCCCCATAGTAATTCATCCCCCATATAGTTTATTCATCCCCCATATAGTAATTCATCCCCCCTATAGTAATTCATTCCCCATATTAATTCATCCCCCATATTAATTCATCCCTCATATAGTATTTCATCCCCCATAGTACTATTCCCCCCCAAGTAGTAAGCCAAGTCCCCCGTGTCAATTCACTTACCTTTGCTCCGCACGTTCCTCTCGCCGTGTTCCCGCGCCGTTCCGGTCTTCAGGGCGGACTGTGAGAGGAGCCTAGCTCCCCTCACGTTCGTCACGCTGCCCCGCCTACACACATCTTGACAGCCATCCTGACAGTATCAGGCTCCACGGGCCGGATTAAAAGGTCCGCCGGGCCGTATACGGCCCGCGGGCCGTAGTTTGCCCATTGCTGGTATATATTATTCACAGGACATACTTAACTCCGATACTCTGTTAGCTAAATTCTGCCTGTCTCATAGTGCATGATGCCCTAAATGCCTTATTGCTCCAGGCACATTTAGTCACTTATTCTGGCAATGTCCTCAGATCCAGGGCTTTTAGAAACAAATTGTTCAATTTCTCCATGACCACATGGTTTCTCCCCTGCAACCAGACCCCAAGCAATGCCTTTTGGGCTTTTGGAAATCTGATATGGATAAACATTCTATAATATTTCTACATGAAACTTTGTTTGCAGCTACAGATACATGGCCAAGATGGCGGCGGGAGCAGACACGCTTTAGGAGCTCCTGCGCATCCTAGCCCCAATCCGCTGCCATCCGGGCCGCAGCGGAAACCCAGCGGGGCCCCTAAGACACCCCCGGCCCAGCCTGACCACCAGGGACCACTTCTGGACCTTTTCCCGGAGCCCCGGAAATCGCGGCCTACCCGCGCACCCGAAGCCGCGGCCCTCGATTTTGGCCGCGGCCGAGCCGCGATCGGACCGGATCGCCGGACATCTACCCGGACCGTCACCGCTCTGCCCACCGGGTCCCGCCGACCTGCCTGCCTGCCCAGGGCCCTCCCCATCAGCCCTGGGTCCTTGCTGATCACCCTGGACCACCAGGAACCGGCACGGCCTCACGGTCTCCCTGGAGCCCTCCCTAGCTCTGGGACCACCCCAGACCACCTGGCACCCAGCCGCGACCCTCGGGGCACCCAGCTGCTCGCACCCAGTGACCCTGCATGGGAACTGCTTCAGGCCTCCCAGCACCCTGCGGGCCACCCTGCACCAGCCAGCCCCAGACCAGGAACCTTTCCAGGACAACGCCGCACCTCCACTACCTGCATCGAGGGGATTCCGAAAAACCATGGGTCTTTAATGCCGTTCCAGATATTGCAATGCATTGTTGATGAGGATTCTCCCGTCCTTCCCATCTCTTGGCCTTTGCTTGGCAACTCGAAGTCTAAGCTCCCAGCTAACACCCCTGGACACCCAGCACCCAGCTACCGGGTACCCAGCTACCACCCCTGGACACCCAGCTACCGGGCACCCAGCTACCACCTCTGGTCACCCAACACCCGGACCACCCAGCGAATCGAGACGTCGCCCAGCGAATCGAGACGTCGCCCAGCGAATCGAGACGTCGCCCAGCGAATCTCCCAGACCCGGACCACCCAGCGAATCTCCAGTCACCGAGCCGCCAGCATCACCAGACACCTTGCCTGCCAACGCCCCCCAACATCGCACCCTACGTCCCCTCCACTCGCCGATCCACCAGACCCACTGATGCCCCCTCGGACGCCAGCATACTGCACCCACAGATTGCAGCCAGCCAGCTGCTGGACTCTACTCCCACTCTCCCCCTACAGAAGGACTCTAGTGGACTCCTCCACGGTGATATAGACTCTCCACATCACCTCGCCCTGACCCGTATCCCTTCACCTCCCCTGACCCGAACAGCACTGCACTCACCCCAGCATGCCACCTGCACTTCTCCTCCTCGTTTTCCTCTCCTCCATCCCAAAAATCGCCTCCCTCTACCCGCCCACCCCCCCCAAAACGGCTCTACATTGCCCCTTCACTTCTGCCCTCTCTCCCCACTACGGCACTCACCACCTCCTCCTGGTACTCCACTCCTCGGTCGACCCACGTGCCACCACTACCAGACCCACACGCTCCTGCACCTCCCATTCCCCATGCCACCCTCCTCACCCTTCTCCTTCTCCTATCCGCTGGGGACATCTCCCCCGAACCCTGGCCCCTCACCACCTCCCCCCCCCTCCAGGGACCCCCCTGCTCCCGCCAGCCGCCGCAACCCCCTCAACCTCATACCTGTGCACCTCCTCCCCACATCCCCCCCCCCCCTCTCTCGGTTGCACTTCTGAACGCCCCGCTCGGTTTGCAACAAACTAACTGCCATCCATGACCTCTTTATCTCCCGCTCCCTCAACCTCCTAGCCATCACCGAAACCTGGGTACAGGCCACCGACTCCACCTCCCCTGCGGCACTCTCTCATGGAGGTCTCATCTGGTCCCATTCACCAAGACTGAGCGGTCACAAAGGTGGTGGTGTCGGCCTGCTCCTATCACCGCTGAGCACCTTCCAGGTCCTCCCTAACCCCCCCTCCCTAACCTTCTCCTCCTTCGAGGCTCACTGCATCCGGCTCTTCTCACCCACCCCCCCTTAAGGATCGCAGTGATCTACAGGCCCCCCGGATCCATAGCCCGCTTCCTGGATGACTTCGCCGCCTGGCTTCCCTTCTTCCTCTCCTCTGAGCTACCGACCATCATCCTCGGGGGACTTCAACATCCCCATCAACGACAACACCCCAGCTACCTCTCGACTCCTCCACTTAACCACCTCCTTCGCGCTCACACAACACACTCAATCCTCCACCCACATCAATGGGAACACCCTGGACCTCGTCTTCTCCCACCTCTGTACCCTTAAACCACTTCACTAACACCCCCTTCCCTCTCTCCGACCACCACCTCCTCACGTTCTCCATCTCCCCTTCCCCTAACTCCCCCCCCCCAGTGCGCCAAACCATCACCAGCCGCAACCTCCGCAACCTGCACCCCCCGGCCCCCCCTCCACTCGGCTGCCGACCGCTTGCACGACAGCATCCTTCCACTGTCATGTCCTGACCTAGCCACCACCGCGTACAACGACTCACTATCAGCCACCCTAGACTCTCTGGCACCCCTAACCACACGCAACATCAAACCCAGACCGCTCCAACCATGGCAGAACGACCACACTAAATGCCTCAAACGTCGCAGTCGTGCGCTGGAGAGACTATGGCGCAAAACCAGGTCCCCTCATGCATTCTCCCTCTACAAATCTGCCTTCCTCACCTACACCTCCTCCCTCCACGCCGCCAAGCAGGCCTACTTCGTTGACCTGATCAACACCCTCTCTAACTGCCCTCGCCGACTCTTCTCCACCTTCAACTCCCTGCTCTCTCCCCCCCCTCCTCCACTCAGTACCTCACTTACCGCCCACGAGATTGCCACTCATCTCCATAGCAAGATTGACGCAATCCGCAAGGACATAGTCAACTTGCAGTCTACCTCCCCATCTAGCCTCCCCCCTTCCATCACCCTCTCATCTCTCCCCTCCTCTGACCTTGCAACGGCACTGCCCCCCACCACAACCCAAGGCCCTGCCTACCGTAACCCCCCCATCACTGCACTCCTTCAGCCCTACTACCACTGAGGAAGTCACCAGAGTCTTCTCAGAAGCCCGCCTCACTACCTGCCCCCTGGACCCTATCCCCTCTCAACTCCTCCGGTCACCCCCCTCTTCCCTCATCCGCTCCCTTACCCACATCTTCAATCTCTCCCTCGCTACTGGCGTCTTCCCCCTCCCCCCCTAAAACATGCGCACATCACCCCCATACTCAAAAAGCCCTCCCTGGACTCCACTGACCTCAACAACCTCAGACCAATTTCCCTACTGCCACTCACGTCCCAAGCTCCTTGAGCGCTTGGTCTACGATCGCCTAAGCGCCCACCTAACTGACAACAACCTCCTTGACCCACTACAGTCCGGCTTCCGTCCCCTACACTCCACCGAAACTGCCCTCCTCAAAATCACCAACGATCTACTAACCGCCAAAGCCAAAG